TTGTAAGTCCCAGGCACTAATAGGTTTTATCTCCACACTGATATTTATACTATTTTACTGAGTTCTAAATTAACTTAACACTCCAGAAAAACCTGGAGGAGCCGAGGCCAACTCAGTGAAGACCTCTCTTAAAAAAGCCAGACCATCAAAGAGCCTAGTATTCATAAAACTAAGTAATAGTTTATAATAAAGGAACTATAACCTCAGAATACTCTAAAGTCTTGCAACTGGGATACACTGCTTCTTTCCTTTCAGTTCATAAAAAAAGTACTACAGAAACAGAAGCAATCAGAGGAAAACACAAAAATTAAGAGAAACCATTCAGAATAAACTAAAAAGATTGCAGTGAACAGTAAAACTCATGGCTGCAATGTGGCCTTCAAGCCAGGTGGCTGGAAGTACTCAGAAAAGTTTGAATCCCAAGTAAGGAGAACAGTCAGTGCAGTAGTCAGAATGTAACATTTCTGAAGAGATGTTTGAGGAAATAAGGCAAACATTCCCTCCTGTCGATTAGGGTAAAAACGTTTCTCCCATTCTTAGGTTATGCTATAATTGTTGACTTCAGAGGTTAATGTACCTTTATTTAAAGTATTCATTATAAATCACTGTCCATGGCCTTACCGAACTATACACATTTGCTGCAGTTTTTCACCTGTAAACACACCATTATGGAGGTCTAAGAACATGTGAAAAATCAAACAACATAGCAAGAAAAGACTTAAAAAAAAGGAAATCCAGCCCTAAAAAGGAGAACTTGAAAGGTGTGAACATGCAGCTCCCAAACAAGGCCCATGGACAGTTATGAATGAATGATGTTTTATGTTTGGAGCCGGGGTTTTAGCAGCTGTAACAGATGAGCAGGCTCACAGGGAAACCAGATGCACCAGGATGTGTTAAAAAAAAAAAAAAGCATTTGGAAAGGGAAGGCCTGTTAGTTTATGGGGAAAAGGGAGGGAGCAGATGGGTGCTTTTCACAGCTCCTTTTCCCACACACGTGCATAATGTGGGTTCAAGCCAAATTACACCTACACTGGGAAATCTTCCCATTCCACCTGCAGGCTGTCCACCATGGGCAGGTTAAGTGAGCTGGTAGGAAAAAAAGAAAACGCCAGCTGCACTAGATCTGAGGCAGGGCAGGTTTTCCTCACCTTCTGTTCCCAGCTGAATTGACCTCACAGGTGGCTATTTCCCAGACAACAATGACTGGAACAATAACACAGTGATACATTTTTAAAAGAGACAGAGAAAAGAAAGGCCTGCTCACATATTTTCAAACACAGAGAAGTGTCTTGTAATGCCATTCTGAGATAACTGCCAATTCAATCACGGCCTCTTTAGAGACACCCAATTCGGTCACACCACGCTGTAATTCGCTCGAGACCCTTCAAAGCAAACGCAAGCTGTGCCTTACCCAAAAATAGGCACCAAACCAGATGATGAAAAAAGGAAAGAACCAGGAAGGAGCAGAAAGAGAGTCAAGCATCTTGTAGGCAGTGAAACCTCCAGATTCCTGGTGGCAGTTTGCTGTTTCCAGGGACAAGTCCCAGCTGCAGCAGAGAACAAGCTGCTCGACATGATCCAGCGGTTAGACCCACTGGGGAATCAAAGTAAACTTCCTACTCTGTTGTCTCCGATGCCATATCCAAGATACAAAGCAAGATAAATGGAAGGGAGGAGGGGGCCAGAGTCAGGCTGCAGCATGACAAAGTATTTAAGAGGAAAAGCAAAGCAGAGTAATGGAACAACAGCATTTGAATAAACACTTTATGCTTTAAAGTGCCTATACATTAAACAAGATTTACTGCTATTTCCTTTTCTCTCTCTGACATCTACAGCCTAATCATTGCAACAGCTGTAAAAATAAAGACTAAAATAGGACTTTTCAAACTGGGAGGCAGGACCCAGGTTAATGGCAGGACAAAGCTATTGTTGCATCAAACTTTTTTTTAATTTAAAAAAAAAAAAAAGAAAGAAAGAGAGAACATTTCATTTAGCTGGACTCCCATGAGACAACCAGCTCCTGAGCAGCAGGCCCAGATTTCTGATTTTAAACCCCTCTCTCTTTAACAACAATGGTAGCAAAAGCTGTAAAAAGGTACTTATGAGAATTCGTTCTTTCTTACTCACCTTCCTTATGGCCTTATTATTTTTTCTTATCAATATCACCCTTTCCTTTCCCCCATGAAAGACCCCTGACCTCAGGGATGTGTTAGGGTATCAGACTCTGCATGCAGGAAATTCCACAGTGCACACTACAAACAAAGAGCAGCTGGTGGTTGCAGGGAAGAACACTCGTGCTCTGCACACACCCTGCAAGAGCACAGACAGGCACAGTGTGATTCCTGAGTGTTGAAGACCTTGCTAAGAATTTCACAGTTTGCTTACTGTCAAAATGGAAATTTCTGTGTTTTTTTAAAACCTCAGTCACCCTGAAAAAATAAACAAGCTGTCATCTTAATTCTCCAAGACTTTCACCTCCAGCTCCCTTCATCTAGAGTAGCAGATGCCCATTCAGAAACCTGAGGAATCAAACTCCTCTTTAGCCATCAGAAAAAGTGGGACTAAAAGGAACACTGCAAGTGCAAGATATGTACGTGTACATGCAGGACATATCAGGTAGCGACAATCAAACTGACACTTCAAGGAACAGACAGACCAGTTGCTTACCGCTGGGGCTACTGGCCTAACAGCCCAGGTCTATTAATAAACATGGTACTCTCTACTTGCTCATATCCAAAGCTCCAATTTTGGATTCACTTAATGGAAAATGAACTAGATGGTTTTTCCTTATCTAATTTCACACTGTTGGCCCAAATGAGATGCAAAAAGAAGTTTTTCTTTAAGTCAAACAAAGAAAAAATGAAGTTCCCTTGACAGCAGTGAAGTGTGCATATACTGATGAATGAAAATGACACTGTAAGAAATCAAGCTATGAAAGCAATCTAAATTAAGACTTGAAAGAAAACCAAAACCATAATATTTTGATATCTAGCCTGCTTGTCAAAATTGTTTCCAGTTAGTCCAATTAAGAGGTTAAATTATACCAAATATAACTTTGGAACAGACTACCTCTAACTTCATATAACCGTAAATGAGTTTTTTTGTAGCTAATATTAATGTGATAATTTAATCATCTTTAGTCATCAATACAGCAAGGAAGTGTTTGAAAATACATATGCAAAGCAGGTAAAACAAAAAAGCTATATAAAGAATGTTGAAGGTAGCTTTCCTCTGGGCAAAAGTTCCTGTCAATGGGCAATGAGTATAGAAATAGCAAGAATTCTGCCAGAGCTTCTGCTTCATATAAGCGTGTCTCAGACTGCGCTGTAGTGAACTTGTGACTTTCCATGAACAGCCTGAGCGGATCTTTGCAAAACTGTTAATGCACTCCAAAAAAGAAATCTATACACCCACTTCCCCACCTGTTTGTTCTGTTTTGTTTTACAGCACCTGAAAACTCAGTGCACATCTGGCTGTAGGGCACTGCAGCCTGAAGACAGGTCAGCACAGAACCCAAAACAACTTTCCACTCTAGCTCAAGTTCTTGATCTTATTTAACTCCACATCTCTGAAAGAAAGCAATTACGCCACCCCTCTGAATTTTTAGATGTTGAAGGGTCAGATTTAAAGCAGTAAGGTAAGGCTCATGCTACTCTATTCACTAAACATTTTGTAGAAAACTTCCCCATTCTTCATAAGAAAATTACTCCCTTCCCTTGTGTTTCTCTGTCATTTCACTGTGTCCTCCTAATGAACCAGGAGTTTTTCTGTTCAGTTCTCACTCATTCTACTCAGTTTCTCATGTGAGCAATGAAATACTGAAATGGAAGTATGGTAAAGAAGAATCAGAAGTGCTAGAGACAAAATGAATACAGATTTAGGAGGAGCCATTACATGTGTATAATGTGGAATGCCACAGGTTTGCACAAACATTTATTTCACTTTGATGACTATCTGAATCTTCTACAAGACTGTTTTCTACTCCTGAAAGCTTTTTGAGAAGCAAGGCTGCATTTTTTAAGTTTTAAGTTAGAAGATCATTAAGATACACTAGAATTTGTAACAAAGACCGAAGGAGGATTTTTTTTCCACGAAGAGTCTAACTTAAGCATTCATGCTGAAGATAAAGTTATAGTTACTGCTTATTTTGAAAGGGCAAGTAGTGGTGGCTTAGAAGTATTAAAAGGGTTATTTTGTTTTACAGTTTATAGATGAAATAACTAGCTTTGCTTTCAAAAATTATTAGCACTGAGCTACAGATTGTCAGTACTGATGAAAACAAGATGATGAAAACTCCCCTCATTTAAGTATCAAGTATTGACCATATTTTCAAATTTCCTTTTAATATCTTTTGTCCACCTCATTCTGGAAGGAATTCTGCAAAGAGAAGAATTTTCGTGTCTTCCATTAGATCCCAGTTACCAAGGAGCAGAAGCTCTTATTCAATCTTTTCCACATTCTGGATTTATGTCCTCAGCAAACTGAATGAACAGCAGCTAAAATCTGACAAACCAACCATTTCTTAAGCCAAACTCCAAGATCAGATGTAGCAAGTAATGACAATGCACGCTCATCATCACTATGAGAGTTACCTGCCACATCCCAAGGAGTAATGTTTGATCAGGCGAGTATAAAACATACTGATGCAGCCTGACTTTTGGTGCCAAAGGCTCCATAGATTTAGTTGCTAACACAAGCTAGCAAGAAAAAAAGGCTGACAACTGGGGTTTTACTGATTTTTTTTCCTTCTTTTTGCTTCATTACTCTAAGTCTGTACAACAAATGCAACATGACACTTCATCTGTAACATACTAGTAATTGTTTAAAGACATTTTAAAAAATAACAAAATACCCATCAGAATCAAGACTCAAAGACTAACCTCTCATGCAAGCAATGATTTAGGAATAATCTTTGGAAAGCAAAATACCTTCAGAAATTAAATTAATGAGAGCAAAATATTTACAAATAACAAATGTAGAAATGTTTTGAACAGTCTTACTTGTAGTTTTTCTCCCAGAATTTGATCGGTCTTGCGTATGATGCAATAAAGATGACACTACCCAGAAATGGACTCAGTGGTGTAGAGAAGATTGAAGTGGCCAGAGTTTGAAAAAAAAGCATAGCAGAGTCTGAAAACTGCAAGTTAAGGTAACACAAATTATTTCATTGTACTTTTAAAAAAATTGTTGGGGCAGCTCTTGGAACTAGTTTTTTTTGCTTTATGTTGCTATTTATTTTACCAAAGACGGGGTAAAGAAAGGAAAGCAGACAGTGCCAAATTGCTAATCACCAATACGTCTTCAGTGGCTCCTCAATGCTGCACAGCTGCAATGAAGGCAACACATCTGAAGGGAGAATGTTCTTAGCAAGGTGACCCTGTCTAATCTCTGCCCAAGGACAGATCCTGAGGGTAGGCAGAGCAGTAAGTGCCCTCTTCCAGCTGCCTTGTGTACTGCCTCTAACACGAAGTGCCTGCCCAGAGTCTGACACAGCTTAACACTCACCTATCCACCCCCAAATACCACTTTCTTGTAAGTTCTTCACTCTCTGCACTGGCATCCTTCTCCCTGTGTGTCCAGTATCCTATTCTGTGAGTTTCTGCTTATTTTGGAATGACCTAGTATGTAGAGAAACAACTATGCCTCTATAATCCAGCCCACTGGCTTAAAACCATGCTTTCATGTTAATTCTTACTGACAATTTAATATTCTATGCTGACTGAAGGGTAAAAATGTTCAGCATTTAATACTTTTTGAAACACATATGAAATGAGAAGGTGAGCACAGGGGAATAGTAATATCACACATAAACATTATAACAAATGCCTGAATCAATAAAGTCATATTCCAGATTGCGGGAAAACAAGATAGGAGATGGACAAGGTAAGAGAAAAAAGATGCAAGTTTAAACAAATACAATTAAGAAAACCCAAGCAAATGAAATGTTAGGGTTTAATTCTTCCTTAATTCATACCACATCCATGAAATCTCATGAAAAAGGTTTCCAAGTCAACATAAGAGACCCGTTGTCCATCCTTACCCCTCTCTTGGGAGGAAGATGATAAATAAAGAAGCCATGAACTAAGGATGCACTAGCAAAGTACAGTGATCAAGTGCATCTCGAACTAAAATGTGGGGGGGGTCACCCAGTCCATCTAGCAATGGCAAGGCAGGATCAGCTAAACCAATACGACTCCTGAGAAACATTTGCCTGAATTCCTTTAATGGTGGAGGCTCCACAACCTCCAACAGGCAAAGTTCCACGTGCTGCCCTTCATAGAATACTTTAGGTTTAGAAAGTCCTTTAAGAGCACCAAGTCCAACCGTTAATCTAACATGGCCAGGTCCACCACTACACCACGTCCCTAAGCACCTCATCCACACGTCTTTTAAATACCTCCAGGGATAGTGACTCCACCACTTCCCTGGGCAGCCTGTTCCAAAACGCCCTGTACACCAGAATCAAATACATTAAATATGCAAAACTATTCATATCACTGAGTTCTACAGCAAAAGTTCACCAAGACACTTTGAAATATAAAAATTTATGTCCCATTTGCAGATGTGATTTAAGCAATTACGAGCCACAAATAATTAATTCTGCAAAGAAATGGCAGGCTTAGTGCCTCTACAAACTGCAGCATGCATTTATCATTACTGTTTGCAGGGTTATGGTAACAACATATAAAAATACTGTGCAAAAAGACAGAGTTATTGTTGTTGTGGGAATAGCAACTTAGGCATTAAAACAGTATCTTAATTGCAACATTGCCTTAAAATACAGATTTGCCTTTAGAAATGTACTATAAATATTAATAATAGAAAACTAGTCTACATCACTTTAGCAGTAATTGTGTAAAAAACCAAAACCTTGCTTAGTTAACTATCCATTTTGCAAAGTTTAATTGGTACTTTTGTCAAGAGCAAAGTTATCACTGCACAAAATATTTGTGACCAAAGTAAAATTCACTGAAATATAATCTTAGTTCTTAAATGTTTTGTTATATAATCTTTTAAATACATTTTCTGCAATTCATACCTATCACACAGACGAAAATACCTTTTTGTTGTGAAATTCCAGAATAATTTGCTACAAATCACTCAAAATGTTCAGACAGATCACTGGTTTTATAATGTTTTCCTTTCCTAAATAGACAGTCTAAAGTTTTCACTCTGGGAGTTATTCTTTCTGCAGTTCTCTCCGTCCAATACTCCTGTTTATTCTTCCTATCTAGAAACCCAAGTATTGTTAATAATACTGCTGAATATGATTCAATATATTACAGCAAAGAGAAGCGGGAACAAATCACTCAGATGGGGAAAAAAAACCACTGTAGTATGAAAGGGACAAAATCTAAAGCGTCTATATCTAATAAACAGTACAAAGTAAAATCTTCGGTAGGTCTGAGCTAAACCCACTTTGGCAACTCTTCTCCCACAACTTTGGTTGGCAGAGAAGGAAGAAATTAAAAGTTATTCTCCAAAAATGCCTTAGATGTGAACAAAAAATTAGTTCAGATAAGGTAGTTTATTTAATTTTATCTTTTTTCGTCTACTAAATCAAGTTTCTAACAGAATTAAGCTTTAAGCTGAAATTTTTTTTTCCCCAGAAATCCAATATATATTTTTGAACACTACAGGGGGGTCACTGACCTCCGTGGTTTACTCTCCAATATTCACAAAACCATGTTCACAGCCTTGGAACAGGCACTGAAACAGGCTGTTTCAGAAGGACTGTTTTGGTGTTGATGCACATATATAGTTACTCGTAATATAGAGTGGAAATGTTAAAACGGAGAATGCTTCTCTGCACCATAATGAAAAAATGTACATTAAAATCTTAAAATCTATCTGCTTTTAGAATGAGGAAAAAAAATAAGGACAGTTGCAGCAAAAACTGGCTTACTGAAATGAATTCGTATCTGAGGTATCAACTAGAGGCAAGTGAGAACGTAACTAATATTTTAGAGATCAGTTGGCCATATGCCCAGCACTTTACAAAACTAGCTTATGTATATATAAAAATCCACCCAAGTTGGAGCTACTATGTCAGTCACAATGTTTCTCTCTGGACATATCAAAAGTCAGTGTTGGGGACTGTGGAAGTAAGTGATCTGCAGAACATGTCTGAGAGGGGAGTGAGCGGCCTTAAACAGACCAGTTGGAGTCAGATCCCATGTAGCCAAGAAAGAGACAAAGCTATTTCTGAGAAGATGCTCCAAGCATTTTCACATTTTAAAATAAGTTACTTCAGTATTTCGCACCTTGCTCAAATGCTGTAAATAAATTACATACATGAAGAGGAATTTAAGAATAAAGAAAAACAAATTTATAAAGGATATGAGGTATTGCAAAGAGCTGAGCGAAAACATGGAACGATGAACCCCAGGCAATCTGCCAGGGAGCAATATACGTCATGATGAACTGCAACTTCTGCAGCAGGTCCCACAGCTGAAAAAAATTAAATAAAAAATGTGACTTCTTCCACACTGAGTTAGTGTCAACATTAATATACCAATATCTGACAGTGACTCTAGAACTGTGCTCGGGAATGAATCTGCGATAAATGACACTGCATTATTAGCTTCCATAGGTATTAAGGTCTTACTGTAGTTAAAACACAAAAGCACATTATTAATTTGAAATTAGAACTTGCAATACGGTACGTTGTTAACCATCATACTGAGGTAGCTCCCAGATTACCTTTCTTCAAAAGTAAATTAGAAGGTTGGAATACAGGTTCTAATATTTGCTGCATATATCATACCACCAGTCAGGCAATTACAGGAGAAAAAACTCCAGGAGAAAGTGGATAAAGCTCAAAGCAACACATGCAGGTCTGTGCATGGAAATCAGACTTATTTCTCAAGAACACCACATTGTCATTTGTTGAATCAATGGGAGAAGCCATCACCGTGCAAGAATGTGCTTGGCATTAACCATGAATTGTAGCTACATTTTCAAGATCAAATCACTCTACTATAAAAACATTGCATTAGTATGATTCTTTTCTTGTGTGGTACAAACTGAAAAACATACCGAATGTACTTTTGCTTCCTGTAAAATACATGCTGCACCAGAAGTTTCTGACTCAAGAATGATGTGTACTTATTCCCTAGAAAACATTTTTTTCTGGCCAGCTCTCTGGCCTCAGGCCAAAACAGATCTTGTGTCTTGTTTGCATCAGGCCATCAGATTCATATTGCAGGGCAGGTTCCTGACAAACACTTAGGAAAGATTTGGCCATCCATAGGCATTAGTGCTCAACACACACACAACCACACA